AGTCCGGACTCAAATTTGTTTAATTCGCCGAAGAGATGCCTAGACCCGCCAATAATTTCCCGACCAGCCCGTAAGCTGCGAAGGTGGAAGGTTTCTTTCATTCAAGCTAAAGCCCGGTGTAGGTAAAAAATGCACATTGGAAATGCAAAAAACATTGGAAGGCCAACTGGAAGCCTATCAATGTCAAGAGAAGCTGTTGTTTCCAATGGGCTTTGGAAAACCGCGAATGAAAACTGACGCAGCCGGTGCGACTGGAGGTGTGACCCACCCGTAATTCCCTACCACTCCGTAAGTTCGCGAAAAATCTACGTGGGACATTTTGCAAGCGCCTCGTGACATGACGCGAGCGTGACACGAGCACTACGTAAGTACGACGCAAGCACGCAGCACAGCAGCTTTGGAAACAAACAAGCGTGCTCAGGGAGAACCACGTGCCAAAGATTTAGTTGAATTGCCTTGACTTCAACAAATGGTTGCTAAACTCAGCCAGCGTATCTATTAGATTTTCCGCCTTCAGGTGCAATGCTGAACGCAATTCAATGTGTGATAGTACAACGCCATGGTGATTGCACAGCGGAATCAGAATCTGTTGCCACTGCTTCCTATTTTGGCAGTCTGACAGGTCAACCCGCAACTTGTTGTTGTCAGTATGCAGTGGGGCCCAAGCAATGGAGGGGTTGCTGAATTCTAGTGTGCCTTCTGATCGCCTAGTCTTCCAGACCGGCAAAGGGCGCAGTGGGACAAACAGTTTGCCCCTCGCTCAGCACCAGAGCCGCCTGACGGAGAAGTGCTTCGGTTTCGCGACATCGATGTCCCAGCGTGCTGCAAGTCCTTGAAGCGCGTGAGCTTGCTTTACAGCGCTACATATGTTGCTGTGCAGAAGCCAAACTACATCAAAGCTACGCTCCATGAGGCGAAGATTTTGAGCCAGCCGTTGAAATCAGCAGCCGAGATGCTGTTGGGAGACGAGGAAGCAGGTCATGAAGCTGTAAGGGCGGCCGTGGAAGCCATCGCTGGACAGTGCAGCCGCTTAGAAACCATCAGTCTTGCGCCTCGCCTTGCAAAGATGTTTTCGAGCTATTTATTTTAGGATATGTTTTTGGGATTCTAAGGCTTTACTTCTTTTCTTCTGCTTCTCTGCTTTTCCGCTTTTCCCGCTTCTCTCTGTTTTTCTCGTTCCCCACCTGCCAGGTGAGGGTTGATTCCTCCTCCTCCTCTTCTCCTCCTCTCCTCGCCAAGCTGCTCGCCAAGTCCTCGCCAACTCTCGAGTGCAGTTGGCACCACCAAACCTCAAGATGTCAGATTGAATGCCAGAAGATATGCCAGTAACAAAATGTATAAATGTCATGGTGGGGATCACTCGAAGCAAAGTCTTTTTGCTGCTTCTCTGCGTTTACCGCTTCTTGGCTTTTCTTGCCTCCCTACTTGTCTGCGTTTCTGTTTCTTCTGCTTCTCTTGCCTCTCTGCTTTTTGACTATTGTTTGTTTTTTGTTCCTCGCAGTGAGCGTATCCTTTCCCACCTCTGTCACTATGTGCAGCGTCAACAACAACACCAACAGCAACAACAACAACAACAACAACAACAACAACACCAACAGCAACAGCAACAGCAACAACGACAACAAAAAACAGCAGCAGCAGCAACAACAACACACAGCAGCAGCAGCAGCAGCAACAACAACAAGAACGACACAAATTACTTTATTTCAAGTGATCCCCACTATGTGGCTTCTTTCTCACATCTATTCTGGTATATCTTCTGACCTTGTAACTGGCATATCTTCTGGCATATCTTCTCACATCTGAGCTACTTATTTTTCCAGATGATTGGTTTTATATCAAAAGGGAACTGGTTCTATGTCTGCGTAGGCATTCTGCTGGGGAAGAAGTTTTGCGTAGACATTTCGCGTAGGCGCCTGTAACATGGGTCGCGTAGGCAGTTTCGCATAGGCAAGAATATATTAGCATAACTAGTTGGTTTCTGTCTCTCTTAGTTTGGGGTTTTCCCTTGTCATGGTTTAACTTTGGGAATGAAAAAAGAACTGTATGTAAGTCCGTGGCGCTCTGTCTGTCAGGCTGGCGAGCCAAAACGACAAAGTATCCCAAAGTCTCGCGTAGGGTCTGCGTAGGCTCCGCGTAGACACTCGCGTAGGCAATGCGTGGGGTTTCGGTTCAGAGGACTCTGGTAGTCCTACAACTTGGAAGCTCCAAAAGTGAAGAAGTGAAGGCTTGGAAGCTCCAAAAGTGAAGAAATGAAGGCTTGGAAGCTCCAAAAGTGAAGAATTGATGGGGATCCTCCTCTTCCTCATCTTCTTCGAAGCCCTGTGCTTCGACATCTTCCAGAACAATCAGGGTCAGAAATCTGCTTCGCGGGATCTCGCATAGGCATTTCGCTTTGGCACCTTCTAATAAGGTTCGTCCGCATAGGCATTTATCTTGGGGGATGTGTTCGAGTAGGTCCGCGCGTAGGGTTCCCAATCTGTGTATAACCCGTATACAATGAAAAGAAACACGGCTCATCTGGAGCTGGCGGTTGAGGGCCGGCGGGGAACACTGCCATCCGAAACTCGGGGTTGAGCTCCGGTGGAGAACACTGTGATCCTGCACTCGCAGCTGGGATCCAGCTGCATGGATCTGACGAGCACTGCTGTGGAGCAGGAGGAGGAGGAGGAGAAGGATGAGGAGGAGGAAGAGGAGGCGGAGGAAGTAGCTGACATAAAATCTAGCAATCCTCACCTGACAGGTGGGGAACAGTAAGAACAACAATAACAAGAAGAACGAGAACAACAAGAACAAGAAGAACAAGCAGATACAAGAAGATAGAAAATAAAGACACCGAGGAACAAAATTTATCAAAACCATGGAACGCGTTGCGGGGGGAGGCGCTGCGGACCAGAAATTTAATTTTAGCTGTAAAACTGCATGGAAACGGAGATGCAGTTGATTTTCTGTCATGTTTCGGTATGGAGTTAAAATTCTTGAGTTAGTAAGAATTTGCAATGAAAGTAGCATCAGTATCTTGTTAATGCCTCGTTTCGGTATGGACCTGAAATTGGTATTTGCTAGAACTTTACATGGAAAATGGAGATGCAATTTCTTCTTAGTCATGTTTTGGTATGGACCTAAAACTCATGATGTAGTGCAACTTTGCGATGAAAGTAGGAATTGAATCTAGTTGATGTCATGTTTCGGTATGGACCTAAGATTCATGATTTCGTGAGAATTTGCAATGAAAGTAGCATCAGGATCTGGTTAATGCCATGCTTCGGTATGATATTTTGCTCGAAATTGGCACGGAAAATGGAGATGCAATTGTTTCTTTGTCATGTTTTGGTATGGACCTAAAATTCATGATTTAAGGCAAATTTGCAATGAAAGTAGCATGTAGGTCTGCCCGGAGTCTCTTTTTTCCCACCTGCCAGGTGAGGTCTGTTAGATTTTATCAGAGTTGTTCTTCTCCTCCTCCTTTTTCTTCTCCTCCCCCTCCTTCTCCTCCACCACCTCTGCCTCCACTTCCATGTCCACTTCCGCCTTGCCAACTCTTCGCCAAGCTCTTCGCCAACTTCCGCACGCAGTGGGCACTGCTGGACCTCAACAGCAAGGGTCTTAGCGCACTGGGCACGGCTGGACCTCAACCTGGGACCGTCCGAGCTCAGTGAGCACCGCTGGACCTCAACCTGGGACCGTCCGAGCTCAGTGAGCACCGCTGGACCTCAACCTGGGACCTTCCCAGCTCAGTGAGCACCGCTGGACCTCAACCTGGGACCCTCCGAGCTCAGTGAGCACCGCTGGACCTCAACGGCCAGATACAATGCCAGAAGATATGCCAGACAGAACGCCAGATAGAATGTCAGAAAGAATGCCAGAAGATATGCCAGATAAAGTGCCAGAATGTTTGCCAGATAGAACGCCAGAAGATTTGCCAGATAGAATGTCAGAAGATATGCCAGATAAAATGCCAGAAGATATGCCAGATAGAATGCCAGAAGGTATGCCAGATAGAATGTCAGATAGAATGCCAGAAGGTATGCCAGATAAAGTGCCAGAATGTTTGCCAGAAGGTATGCCAGATAAAGTGCCAGAATGTTTGCCAGAACATATGCCAGAAGATTTGCCAGATAGAATGCCAGATAGAATGTCAGAAGATATGCCAGAAGATATGCCAGATAGAATGCCAGAAGATATGCCAGATAAAATGCCAGAAGATATGCCAGATAAAATGCCAAAAGGTATGCCAGATAGAATGTCAGATAGAATGCCAGAAGGTATGCCAGATAAAGTGCCAGAATGTTTGCCAGAACATATGCCAGAAGATTTGCCAGATAGAATGCCAGAAAGGATGTCAGAAGATATGCCAGATAGAGTGCCAGGTAGAATGCCAGAACACATTGCAGAAGATATGCCAGGTAGAATGCCAGAAGATAGTCAGATAAAATGCCAGAAGATATGTCAGATAGAATGCCAGAAGATTTGCCAGTAACAAAACGTATAGATGTCATGGTCGGGATAACTCGAAGTAAAGTAATTGTATTAAATTTAGATTTTGGATCAACTTAGTTTAGTTGCAAAATTTAGTTCAGTAGACCAACATTTTTTGAAAAAGGAAATAAATAGGGAAATAAATAGGGAAATAAATAGGGAAAGAATGAGGGAAATAAATAGGCAAATCAATAGGGTAATAGATAGTGTTCTCCAACAGAGCCAACCACCACCAACAATAACAATTTCTTTGCCCACTCCAACCTCCAGAAACCAACCAGTAGAACCAATGAGCAAGACGTCCTCACATTAGATATGAGGTGATCACTCTTGGGGTTGGTGAAAGCGTGTTGTTGCTACATACATCCCATGATTGTTGATTGGCATAGAAACAACACTTGTAACCTAGATTATAAACCCCAATTTTTTAAACAGATAAAATCATACAAGAACACTATTCTCTCTTGGTCAACATGTCCAAATCCCCAATTTTTCTACGTCGTTCGTGTGTTTCGCCCGAGGAATACGACATCTTGGTGGTGGCAGCGGGTCTTCAGCAGAACTTCAATGTGGTGCCAGGTGGAAGTCGGGATTGCGGAGACGGTTTGGGTCTGATACAATGGTGTTTTTTCGCAGTTTTGGACATACTGACACGGAAAATGATGATCAATTATTATCAATTATATCTAATTTAGGAATGGAGAAAATCGAAAAAATATCAAATTATCAGATATTATCAAATATTTTCAAACAAAACCAGTTGGTGAGTTGGGAATGAGAAAATCGAAAAACCAGTGGAGCTGAGGCCTGAAAGAGACCATGGGGAAAAACAGTGTTTTTTGGACTGCAGGCTGGGGAGAGTTGTGGTGTTTCTAGAAAAAGGGGAAACAATGAAAAGGCTAAACTGGATAGAACAAATTTCATTCAACACAGCTATGGAAAATTACAATGTTTAATTCACATGAGTATATCATCTATAGACGGACCCTTTTCCATCGCCATGTTTTTGATGGCTTCACACACTTCTCTCCAGGATGGTCATGGATGAGATCTGGACAACTTCCCTGGAAAATGGTTGGAATTTTAAGTCATTCCATGGGTTTTCACCACGCTGGGTGATTCCCCAGAGATTCCAGGTGGCCTATGAGACCAGTATGGCGGTGAAAATGACTGGATAGCCCTTGTGACCAACGTTCTCAGTGGCTAAGGGACCCCACATGAAACGAAGCAAGGATTTGCCAGCCATTTTCGCACCCTTTACAGTACCAATCATGTTTTGCCAACCACCAACCATTTACCAACCATTAGCTACCCATTTGCCAGTTTCCTGATTATTTATCAATCATTTCCCAACCAGTTACCAATCATTGACTTCATTTCGTGATACAAACCCTTTATACCAATCTCCATTCATCAATCATTTCCTGATGATTTACTGAGCATTTTTGAACCATGTCCTACACTCAGCTGGATCCCTAAACCAGTTCACCAAGGTCGCATCGATTTACTCCCTGGACTACTCTCCGGTGGTTTGGCAGAACATCCAAGCTCTGAACTCAGGCGGGAGCTATGTGGCAGATGATCTCAGACCTGATAGCTGATGCAGTTGGTTACAGTTGGTTACTGTCTGGATGAAATCATCCCTCAAAATTCAGCTGGAAAATGTCCAACTTCAACTCAGCAAGTTTCGGTGGAGGCAAAGCCATCTTCACCAACCCCTGCACCGCTGTGAACTGCGGTGGTGCACCGCAGAAAATCGCCTACTTGGCAGAAGCAGAGTGGAGAAAACGAGGCCGCAACCGAGTGCGAAATGGGGATGCTTCATGGATGGAGGTTGGGTGTAACGGATTGTAACCAACAAAAGGTGGAGAAGATTGGCGAAGTAGGAAATTCAGTTGAATTATAAATTGGCATGGGGGCCCTTGTTTTTTTGACCCCCCACCTTGTTTTTTTGACCCCCTGTTTTTTTAACCCCCTAACCTTGTTTTTCTGACCCCCCACCTTGTTTTTTTTTGACCCCCTGACCTTGTTTTTTTGACCCCCCACCTTGTTTTTTTGACCCCCACCTTGTTTTTTTGATCCCCCACCTTGTTTCTTTGACCCCCCACCTTGCTTTTTTGACCCCCTGGATCTGCTTTCCGGACCCCATGAAATTCATTAAATTCCTTGGGATTGATATTTTGTTTCCGCGGCAGGTTTTGGATTTTTTTTGGTTCCTGGTTCTATGCTTTCTTGCTTCTCTGCTTTTCTGCTGTTCTGCCGTTCTGCTTTTCTGCTTCTTTGCTTCTCTGCGTTTCTGCTTGTCCTCCTTTTGCTTTTGCTGCTTCTCTGCTTGTCTACTTCTCTGCTTTTCTGCTTTTTGCGTTGCCTGCTTTTTGCTTTTCCTGCTTCTCTGCTTTTCGCTTTTCCTGCTTCTCTGCTTTTCATGCTTCTCTGCTTTACCGGCGTCTTTTCTTTTCTGCTTCTCAGCTTTTCTGCTTTTGTGCTTCTATGCCTTTCTACTTCTACTACTACTATTCTACTTTTTCTTTTCCCCAGTCATGCGTTTTTGCCGCTCTACTTCCTGCTCCTCTGCTCCTCTGCTTCTCTGCTTCCTGTCTTTACTGCCTATTTGTTTTCTTTCTTTCATTTTGCTTTAGTCTGTCCTCTTTGTATCCTACATTAAACCCTAAAGACCCTAAAGAAACCCTAAAGCAACCTTAAACGAAACCTTAAAGAAACCGCAACCTTAAATGACACCATAAAGAAAACTCAAATCAAACCCTAAATGAAAACCTAAAGAAACCCTGAATGAAACCATTAATGAAATCCTCAAGAAACCAACATGAACGTGTGAAAATCTTGATAAGAATTCCTGATAAGAAACCCCACGTAAAACCCTAGATTAAACCCCTAAATGAAACCCTAAAGAATCCCTTAGTCAAACCCTACAGAAACCGTAAAGAAACCCTAAATGAAACCCTAAAGAAATGTAAATCCTAAAGAAACCCTACATGAAACCCCAAAGAATCCCGAAATGAAATCCTAAAGAATCCTTCAATGAAACCCTATTTTTTTTGCTTCATTCTCTCCTGTTTGTACCCTAAATGAAACCTTAACGCCCTAGGTAAAACCCAAAGCCCCTAAACAAAAATCCTGCTAAGAAACCCCTACATGAAACACTAAATGAACCCTAAAGAAACCATAAATTAACTTAAAGAAACCATAAATGAAACCCTAACGAAACTTTGAATGAAACCCTAAATGGCATCCGAAAGAAAATCTAAACGACACTCCAAAAAAACTCTGAATGAAACCCTACATGGAACCCAACCTGAAACCCTGAAGAACCCGTAAACGAAACCCTAAATGAAACATTAAAGAGACCTTAAATAAACCCTAAGAAACCAAAAAAAGAGCTTAAACCCTAAAGAAACCCTGAATGAAACCCTAAATGAAACCCTAAAGAGGCCCTAAATGAAACCCTGACTGAAACGCTAAATAAACTCACATGAACGTTTGAAAACCCTGATGAGAATTCCTGATAAGAAACCCTACATAAGACTCTAAATTAAACCCTAAATGAAACCTTAATGAATCCCGAAATCAAACCCTGCATGAAACCCTACAGAAACCCTAAGTGAAACCCTAAAACATGTAAATCCTAGAGAAACCTAAAATGAAACCCTAAAGAATCCTTCAATGAAATCCTAAAGAATCCCTAATTGAAACCCTAATTCTTTTGCTTTATTCTCTCCTGTTTGTATCCAAAACAAAACCTTAAAGACCCTAGGTGAAACCTAAAGAATCCCTAAAGAATTCCTGAAAAGAACTCCTGATAAGAAACCCCTACATGAAACACTAGATGAACCCCAAAGAAACCATAAATTAACCTAAAGAAACCGCAAATGAAACCCTAACGAAACTTTCAATGAAACCCTAAATGGCATCCTAAAGAAATTCCAAGCGACACACTAAAAAACTCTGATTGAAACCCTAAATGGAACCCAAACTTACATCCTCAAGAACCCGTAAACGAAACCCTAAATGAGACACTAAAGAAACTGGAAATGACACCCCAAAGAAACCCTAAATAACACCCTGAAGAAACATCAAATGAAACCCTGAATCAAACCCTACATGGAACCTTAAAAAAACTCTGAATGAAACCCTTAATGAAGCCCAAAGAAACCCTGAATGAAACCCTAAATAAAACGTTAAAGAAACCCTAAAGAAACCCACATGAACGATGGAGAATCTTGATAAGAAATCCTGATAAGAAACCCTTCATAAAACCGAAATGAAACCCTAAAGAATCGCTAAATCAAACCCTACATGAAACCCGACAGAAACCCTAAACCCGGAAAGAAAAACCCTTACGAGATGTAAATCTTAAAGAAACGCGAAACCCTAAAGAATCCCTACGTGAACCCCTAATTCATTTGTTTTATTCTCTCCTGTTTGCATCCTAAATGAAACCTTAAAGACCCTAGGTGAAACCCAAAGAAACCCTGAAGAATTCCTGCGAAGAAACCCCTACATGAAACACTAAATGAACCCTAACGAAACCATAAATTGACCTAAAGAAACCACAATTGAATGCCTAACGAAACTTTGAATGAAACCCTAAATGGCATCCTAAAGAGACCCTAGACGACACCCTAAAAAACCCTGAATGAAACCCTAAATGGAACCCAAACTGAAACCGTGAAAAAAACATAACCCTAAATGAAACACTAAAGAACCTCGAAATGAAACCCTAAAGAAAGCTTAAATGAAACCCTAAAGAAAGCTTAAATGAAACCTTAAGTGAAGCCCTAAAAAAACCCTAAATGAAACCCTAAATGAAACCCTAAATGAAGCCCCAAAGAAACCCTGAATGAAACCCCAAAGAAACCCTAAATCAAACCTACATGAAATCCTACAAAACCCTAAAGAAATGTAAATCTTAAAGAAACCCTAAACGAAACCTTAAAGAATCACTAAATGACAACCTGATTCTTGTGTGTGTGTGTATCCTCAATGAAACCCTAAAGACCCTAGGTGCAACCCAGAGAAAGCTTAAAGCCTTAAAGATATCCTGATAAGAAACCCCTACATGAAACCCTAAATGAACCCTAAAGAAACCATCAGTTAACCTAAAGAGACCACATATGAAACCCTAACGAAACTTTGACTGAGACCCTAAATGACATCCTAAAGAAACCCCAAGCGACACCCTAAAAAACTCTAGTTGAAACCCTTTAAATGGAACCCAAACTTAAATCCTCAAGAACCCGTAAACGAAACCCTAAATGAGACACTAAAGAAACCGTACATGAAACCACAAAGAAATCCTCAAGAGACCTTAAAACCACAAAGAAACCCTGAATGAAACCCTACATGAAACCTTAAAGCAAGATTTCCTGATAAGAAACCCTACACAAAACCCTAAATCTGTAAAAACTCCTGCAGTAAAACCATGTATTGTATATATCATCGATCTACTCTGTAGCGTTGGTTCAAAAGTATCAGCTGCTTACCGGTTTATTCGCCCCATTGTTATTGTAACATTGTTGGCTGACCTGGTAAAATACAGGTTATCAGCCGTAGTCTCACTACTTTGCTATGGGGACCCCAACTGACCATCCTCTCGCCGTTCCAGGGTCAGGTCCATCGACTGTTGCCGTGCCCAATGTGGCCGGAGGCAACTCCGAGCCGATGGATGACGAAACGATGTTCCAACCTGTTGTAGCGTACTTTACATTCATACAAAACAACCTGTCCCAAATCACCAGTGGGAATACCCTGCAAGTCATGAGGGAAGCTGAACAGAGGCACCTTCAGATAATGCATGGAGTAGTTGACTCAATCCGAAGTGAATGGTCAAGTAGACTTGTAATGCAAGAGCAGGAGTATGAGCAAAGGTTGCAGGATGTAGAGAGCAAGGCAATTGGAGCAGTCAATGAGGAAAGGAAAAGAGGCGATGAGTTAGAGGTCAGGCTCAGGCATCGCATGACAAAAGGGTAGAAGACTTCAAGGTAGAGGCAAACACAAAGCATGATCAGAAGATTGCAGAGGAAAGGCAACGTATCACTTGTGAATTCGAAGCTTCCTATGCACAAACAGTTGAACATGCAAAGAATGCCATAGCTGCCACGAAGAAGCAATATGAAGATCAGGCTGCAATTGATCAGGCCAGGTTCATTAGTTTGAAAACAGAATTTGATAACTATAAAAAGGAAATGGCCGAGAAGATCAACGAGGCAGCGGCACAGAACCTCAGCCTTCAGGACCAAATCGATGACCTTCAGGAGCACTTAAAGCATGTTGCCAAAGCGCAGCATGCCTCCGTTCCAAAAGCATCCGTCCAGAACGCCGAGCCAGCCGCTACCGCTAGCGTGCCCCACTTCAACATTGCCACTCCTAGAGCATCCGATGCACAGGCTGCCAAAGGCAGCGATGAGCCGATTCAAGAGTTGAAGACGCCTGCAGTGTTGGCACAAGAAGCAAAAGCCAAGTTGGATGAGCTGCTCAAAGGTGGCAGTTCCCAGCAGAAACCGGCTGTCGGCAACGACCAGCCCCAGCTGCCAACGCAATCAGGATTTTTCACTCCCACTGAAGCTATTAAAACTCCCCCCAATGACTCTCCTAAGAGCGTAACCAAGCAGCAGCAAGTGATGGGTCCCTCAGAACTTATTGAATTGGTAAAAGCCTTACCCCAAAGGGAAGAAAAGGACAAGCCCAAGACTAAGGAGGCCGAGCTCATCAAGCTGAACAACATGCCCGCTCCGGAGTCATACAGGACTTGGAAGAATCATGTCAGGGATGAAG